GCCTTCCCCGGGGGCCTGAGCTCTTACAGCAAACCCCACATAACATTTGGGCGTTTTCTGCTGAGCCTGAACTTCTGCGTGGCCGCTAATCCTCCCGGTAAGAAGAGCAGGGCCCCTTCCCCCAGAGGTTACTCCAGATCAAATCCGACCGCCACTTCCATCCCCAGGCGGCACGGGTGAGTCACTGCAGCCCTCAAAATAACAATGGAGAAATCTCCAACTACACTCTTGCCTAATTAACCACGAATACTGACAAGCGCTAGGAAAAAAAAAAAAAAAAAAAATCAGTCCCCAAATTGTGGCGGAGTTTTAAAAGGCAATTTATTAGTGTTTTCATCCCAGATGCACTCGTTAGGTAGGAGCGGTATTTCCCTGGGATCCTACCTCACGGCAGACACCTGGAAACAAAAGGATAAACGTCCTTGGGGGTGTGTGTACACAGAACCAAACTAAATGAAGGGAAAGAGTTATATCAAGACAGAAGACCCCAAAGTACTTTTTGAGACTTCCTCGTATTTGGGACCATCCATAATTTCACTCCTCCATCAGTCACTCTATTCAGATCTCTTTATGGTGCTTGTAAAACAACAACAGCAAAAAGCTAAGGCACAGACTTCTACAAAACCCCCTGGTATAGTTTTCAGGCAGTCCTAGCTTTAAAACCTACACATTACTTTTTTTTATTTTTTATAAACTGCTAAACCCAATGCATGTTCCTGTTGTTTGCATTTTAAATGACATTTTCAATGTCATTTGAAGATACAGCTCTAGCAGACAGTTCGCAAGCCACGATAAGAGCCACTTTCAGTCTCTTTTTCAACCCTCAGATAAATGGCTGTGTGATAAGGCAGTGAAATCTTGGCCAAGGTTTGTTCTGAAGCTCTGTGGATGTTGCTTTTCCTCAATTAAGGAGCCCACACTTGATCTAACAGAGGACTCTCCTGTTCTCTCTCTTCCCCTGGCTGAGTCAGCTGGCTCCCTCATCCAGCTTCTCCAGAAAGGAGAAGGCATAGTTTGTTTCTGTGCTGAATTTTCCTTTTTTTTTTTTTTTTTTTTCTGGCTTTGCCAGTTCATCTTAACCTTGACACGCTGTCTACCTGCTCCTGCAGTCCTGGAGGTTTCTTAAGAAAATCTTGCGTCCTGCTGACCTGCACGAGACTTCTGGCACATGCTGGAACACAGACTGGAATCAAACACTGAAATGCGTTTTTACCAATCTCTTTCCTTCAAAACTGAAGAAAAAGTTTGTTCTGCCAGCTGAGTAATTCCCTTAAAGCTTTATGAAGGAAATGCCAAAGTTACGTGAGACCTTCTGAAAAATTTCACTTCTGTAACCTCTTCCAAATTCCCTTATTGATAAGGAGTCCTGCTGACCTGACCGGGTCAGACAGAGTTTCTTTGATCAAGGACTCATCTGCCAGGTTCATTCCTGTTAATACCACTGACTTCAAGAGGAATTACACCACGAATGAATCAGACCCAGAGTCATACAAATCCTCACTATGAATTTGATAAAAACTCCATTTGATAAAAAGAGCGGACCAGGCTTGATGGTAGCAAGCAGCACTTCTCAGATAATTCTGAGAATGAAACGCCCTTCCTTGTTTTTACAGAGATTTAATACTTAAAAGTTAAATGATATTTAATAGATAAATTAGGTGTGTTAAGGCTGAGACACAAATCAATGAAAAATTCTAATTTGAAGTCTACTATGGCTAATTTAGCTTATTTGTTGTTGACAAGCAATTCAAGCTTACCTTCTTTGTGCTGCTAATAAAAAGTAAATGATGTTACAAACCATGAGTTTCACTGTCTGAACAATGCAGCAAAGTACAGAACACAATGGCAGCATTACTAATTATTCCTCCTTTTGTTAATTTAGAGCCTAACCTTAACATTACTTTACAATAACATCCTCACTGAAGGGAGTACGTTTTTCTGTTGTTGCTTTTTAGTTCAATTCCTCTCTAGCACACTGGCACAAATTGTCTTCACAAGGAAACTATATTTCTCCCTTTGTGATCCAACACTCACTAAAAGGTTTTAACTAATTCATTACAGCTGTGGGGAAAGATGTAGGAATAGCAGAATTTTTCCAGCTCCATTTCAGAATAGAAACACCATTAGGCACATTTTCAGAACAGCATCCCTTACCCCTTATTGCCATGAACAGCACCAAAGAACAGAATGAACTGAGACACATCTTCATTTTTTTTTTTCCATCTTGCACGTGCAAATTTACTGTGTTGTTGTTTTTTGTTTTTTTTTTCTTAATTAGTTGGATTGCCAATACTGGACTTTGTACCTTCAGGAGCATGTTTGCTGCTACTCATAAAAAAAAAAAAAAAAAAAAAAATTTAAACATTTGACTTCACAGCAATGAGAAAGACTTTTAGTGCAGGGAAGCCCCAAGAAGTATAGAGCTAAATCAGCCACCTCTGGTTAGAGGTAAAATATGACCTTTTGCCTGAACATACACAGATTAAAACCCATTGCAAAGTCCCAGTTTCCCATTGGAGGAGAAACCAGTAAGAGGCGTTCAGAATAGTTCTACATGTAGTGTGTTTATCTACAAGCCTACTCATTTTAAACAGAGATAACCAAAATTACACACAAACAGTTCTATTCACACAACTGCTAAAATGATTCAAGGCATTTAATATTTTGGTCCCAACCTTCCTTTGGGACTACTTAGGCAGTTTGGTATTCAGTTTTGTTTCTCTACTGGAAAACCTTCTCTACTAAAACCTATGTATCAGGGTCAACCTCTGGAGAGGGAACATGGCTGGGAGGGGAGTTTGTTTCTGGTAGGTTTCTATAGGCTGAATCATAAAAGCATTGCTTGGAAGGGACCTCTGGAGGTGCCCTAATCTAGCCTGCTGCTCAGAGCGAGATGATCACCACCAATAACTCAGGCCAGCTGTGGTTGTGCCAAGTCCACTCTTCTAAACCCTGCAGCAAGGAGAAACCACACCACCAGGGTGACCTGTCCCAGCGCTGCACCACTCTCCTGGTAAAAAGCTGTTTTCCACTGTAAGCCGCCCAAACTGTAGCACGTGGCCACTGACCCTTGTTATGTATCAGCTGGCTCTACCACCAGGAGTTTGGCTGCAGTGTCTTCAGAGCTGCCCATTGTGTAGTTGTAAGCCACTGCGAGGCCATCTCCTCTTGCAAATCCGAGTGTAGTGGGTTTCTGATCTGGAACCCTTTCATCATTTTTGGCCAGTGAGAAACAGACCAGTTAAAACACTCAAATTGTCAAGTCCAACATGAGACACTTCAGCATAGTTCTATTTCTTGGGGAAAAAACAAAACAAAACAAAACTTCAAAATTTGAGTTTACTCCAGAAAGACAAAAACTAATTTTGTACAAAAGTCATTGCCAAACTGAGTTGTTCTCCTCTGGACAGCAGAGCTAGATGCAATCTTACTAAATAGTTTAAAGAAGGCAGGTGTGTACACATATAGTTTTGATGTTAAAAAAAAATTAAAGCCACAAGACTGCACATCCTTCAACAAATGATTAACTGCATGCATAGGCTGTCCTGATATGGCAGCAGTTGCACGGCCACAGCTCAGTGTTTTTCATACCACACATTTCTAGACTATTCAAGCCTCGGTGTTATGATAATGACAACATTTCCAGACAGCAGCAATGTACTTTGCGAAACAATTTCAAGTGGAACCTTTAAGCCAGCGGATTTATAGATTCAAAGCAAGTCCAGGTATCAAATATGGCTCAGCCAGCATGTTGGCAGGGTCTTATCTCTTAAAAATAACTAAAGCACACAGCCGTACCAATTTACACTACTAAGAGAGAATTCCTCTAGAAAGAGCAATTATGTCATTTAGCACACAAAATTCTCCTCAAGATTTCAGTATTTTCTTTTGGACTTCCTTCTTTTTGCTAGCACGAATTTACTGCATGACCTATTTTTTCTTTCAGAGAGACAACTAGTCACACAAAGACACACAAGAAATTCTCCAGAAAACACATGGCTACACAATGCAAATGAAAGTATAAAAAGAATGAATACAAAGCAGATGAAAAAGGGCAGAGCAATGTTACACCCACCTTTCGGAACTGGAATAGACCAAGAGTATATAAGGAACAGAGCTGAATATGCCCTCCTAACTCCCATCAATAAATCAGCACCAGAAGCAATGTTTCAGAGCTATAAGTGAGATTGTATTGTGAAAATAAAGTGGTAATGTTTGACTTCCCTTGACACGCATCCAATATCCACATCATTTTGGTGGGCCCTGTGTTGCAGGCTGTGAACAGTTTGTTGTGTATTAGCAAAGTAACTAGCAAAAAAGCATGCTGGTCCTTGACTAAATCTCAGGATTTAGACCTAGCAATAGGCAGTCATTTCATCAGTTAAAAGAAATGGTAAACTTAGAGACACCCATCTGAGAAAACCAAGAGACACGGATGTGCTGACATGCCAATAGCCCACAGCACTGACTTTAAAACACAGCATTTTAAGAGAATAACTATCTTGGTTTCAAATGCCTTCTGAAATTCGGAGATGCTTGCTGTTCTGCAAGGGTACTGAAAAAAAACAGCCATTTGACAAAACAACGTATTGTAAAAGTTAAAAAAAGCATACCCTTTTCCCCGACCCCTATCTTTAAACTACTGCATGCTCAACCTGTCCTCCCCCAGCACTCAAACAACAAATTGTAAACACGCAGGATCACAGGACACATACTTGGCAGCACAGGAGCACTGTATGTGCTTCAGATACTTCAGAATTGGGAGGCAAAAATAAACAGTTGTACAAATTACTGCATCTACAGTTTCTTGGAGCACAAGCGTCAGGCTCCTGGGAAGTTCCCAGCTGTCTGCTTGGGGGACTCCCCACGTTCCTCAGAAGGAAGTGGTGTCTGCTTCCAGAGCAGGGACAAATCCTGCACCTAGCCTTTCAATTAGCCCTGGGTCAGCTTCTTTATACTCTTTTCAGCTATAAGGTGTTAAAGCATTGCATTTTCCTCACCTTTCTTCCTCCACCATGGCCCTTCTTGGATGGAATATGAGAGTTCTTTAAATTCAATGTTTACAGCTGGTCTGCGTGGCAGGTAGGAGAAACGATGAGCTTCTGTCAGAGTATTGTCCACCTTTTTTAAGTGTCCATTCATCAGTCGAACATCTTGGTTATCTGTGCCATTGGAGACCACCTCATCCACCGAAACGCACACTGACTTCGGCTCGGCCATCGTGCAGGCAGAACTGCTGGCGTTCTAGAGGGAAAAAGTTGGAGAAAGGACAAAGTTCACAGACTTCCCCTTAGGAACACATTTCAAAACCTTCTGCATGAGAAGTTATTATATAAAATAAAATCCAAGCACAGAATCCAGCACAGAAATGTGTTGAAAGGTGAAAGAGGGAAAAGTAATCTTTTGTTTGTTCTGCCAGTGTCTTGATAGGAGAGGTAAAAGAGCTTGTCACACACAAAAAGCAGTTCCTTTCGCACCACTTTCCTCTCAGTGGGTATATACAGCACATCAGTATCTAACTTCAGAACAGAATGGCTCTTGCACCAGAATAATACAGCAGAAGAATACAATTTCTAAGTACAGTCACGGTGTATTCAGTTTCTCATTCCCTCCAAGAATCAGGCTCTAGTTGCCCTGATTCCAGGGCTTGTATTAGGACAGAGCTGAAGGGGGAAGGGAGCTAGCTGAACAATTGTTTACGCAGACATGTCAAAAGACAGCCTCTCAAAAAGTCCAAGAGCTCTTACGCCTTTAGATCAGAAGATACTTCCGTAAATGTGAAATCGCACAAGTTACACTTCTGCAAATTTTGAAATGTACTGTTTTCTGCTTTATCTGCTCCGGCAGCAATAGTTCTGGAGACTGAGACCTGCAGCAGTACAACTTCTCTCCTAGAGGTTTGTTAGGAAAGCACAGCGATTTCCATCCAAAATCCTTCCTTGCTATTCCCTAATGGAAATCTTATCAGCTACATAAACATACTAAACCCTGCTCAGTACAGCACTGCTGACACTGCAAGGTCAATGCTCTCTGCTCACAGCCATGCCTCCTACCATGCTTTGCCCAGTGCAATTCCACTTGGCTTTTTTTGCATGGAGGCTCTTTCCCCTCCTCTCCTGACTGTGACAGCAGCTTGCTGTCTGCCTTTCCCTTCTTTTTTATTTACGCACACAAAATCTGAACTTTTTCGATCCCTTTTACCTGCACGGGCACTTTGGACCAGTATTGACAGGATATGTCCAAGGCCTAAATGAAAACAACCGTGAATCTTCTTCAGCTAAACAGAATTTTGAAGAGTTCGGAGGACATCCTTTGTCATCTGTTGTTTGGAGTATGCCATAAGCAGTGCCTAACATCTGCACAGTTGTCTATAATAAAATCTTATATTTTTAATGCAGATCTGCATCAGAAACTAATTCTGTAGGTAACATATGCCAGGCTTTCCATCCTGTCACCCGTATCCAACAACCTACATGTCTCCAAAAGATACCCACTGAAAAGCAGATCTGCTGCACCTCTTTCCAAGGTACCAGCCTTGAACACTCTCAAATAAGGAGCTGTAGGTCGTGACACTGTTTCTCCCAACTCACTCTCCAGTGCAACTAAGTCACACTGCCTCCAAAATCATCCTCTGTCATGGGGAGTGGTCTCCCTGTGTATGTGCTTTTCAGGCCAGTTACTTCTGATGAAAAACCCTAAAATACAGTCCTTCAAAACCACTGGTTACCAAGCGTCTTCCAGTTCTTCCTGCACAAGCACGTAGCTCTGGATGTGAAAATCTGCTCTGCTTGCCACATTTTCTCAAGCAAGAGATTTTAACCATGCTCTCAAGTTGCTCAGAGGTCAAGTATCCAGTAACACTTACTCCCAATTTCTTAAACAGATGACTGTAATAGCATGTAATTTGAACATAACAAGCGTAATGTGAAACACCTTAGACCTGAACAGTTAAGGAACGGGGACCTCCTTCTTCCCTTAAAAAATTAACATCAGGTGATTTGATAATGTTCCTGAATGTTTTCAAGGCTTACTTTGACACTCTCAAAGTCATTGGTTCACAGAAACTACCGAGCAGCTTCACGTGCCAGAGGGAATATCCGAAAACTAGCAATGAGCAGGCCACCATCGCTACTCAAGGGACAGTCGGGGTTTCTCCAGTTTAGATGGTTTCAAAAAGAAACATCCTCTGGACAAGCTCCTTGCAGTATGACTTAATCAGCCATGAGTAGGAGGCCAGAGACTTTTGTTCCTGGGACATAAGCAAAGCATTTCAGTCACCCGTCGGACTGAAACGCCTCTCCTCAGCAGACCGTGACACAGCCCTGGGTCAGACGCCAGCCTCAGCGGGGTCCCCTCACTGGGGTGAGGATGTCCCCTGCCAGCTGGGTGACTGAAATCCTGTGGGGTCTTTGCTTGAAATTCCCCACCAGGTGGGCAGTTCTGGTGGCTGGTACAGCCGCCAGCCTGTATAAAGTGGCACCAGAGAGTGCCTGAGGGATTCCACGGATCTACGGGCACAAGCCGTGTGCTTCTCCACTGATGTATGCGTGCAGCCGTGTCTTTCGCACCGGTGTCCACCTCAAACACACCTATGGGGCTTACACCTCGGCCGATTTCACACAGTTTCATTCCCCGGCTTGCCGTGAGGGGCTGAACTGCCTGCTGCTGTTTACCCCACACCGCGATGCTCCCTCACGCCCTGCGCCCTTTCCCCCAAGCAACTTCCCCGCGCCATCCCTTCCTCCTCCCGCAGCCTGCCTGCCTTTCACCCAAGCTTTTTTACGCCAGAAATAGAGGTTACGGTCCCCCCTGGTAAATCCGTTTCGAGAAAGCACCGGCGGCGGGGCAGGGAGCGTGCTGCCACAACCCCCTAATCCCAGCAGCAGCTCAAACCGGGAGGTTACTGCCGGTCAAGCACCGCCACCGGGCACCGGGCACCGGGAAGCATCACCGGGCACCCCCGGGCACCCCCAGCCGCCCACCCTGCCCTCACGGAGCCCCACGGACCCCTCCTTTCCCCCCTCGTCCCGGCCGCGAAGGAAGGGCGAGCAGGGCGCCCTTACCAGAGCGGTGCCCAGGGAGAAAGCCGCCATCAGGCATGCCATGTGCCCCGCTGCTGCTGCTGCTGCTGTTGCTGCTGCTGGCGGCGGCTCCCGCTTCGCCAGCACCGTGCCGAGCCCTCGGGTGTCGCCTCCCCGGCCGGCTCGGCGGCGGAGAGGATGGAGGGAGGGAGGGAAGGACGGAGGGAGGGCGGCTCCGCCGAGATGGGGGCCGCCCCGCCGCGTTGAACGCGGCCCCGCCCGCCGCCATCGCGCTGAGGGGATGGGGGAGCGGGGCGGCCGCCATGTGGCGGGGCAGGGGGTGGCGCTGCAGTGGGCAAGGTGGCTTGCTCGTGAGCTCCCGGAGGGACCGGGGATGACAAAAATCTCCTCTCTCGGCCCTAGGACTTCTGTGTGATTTGTAAACTGAGCAAGCTGTTTGGGTGCAGGCTCTGAGAAAACAGAAGGTTGTAACCAAGTTTTCTTTCATCGTTTTCTCCTCAAGTCTAAGACCTACATTGCAGCAACAGTGGGGCCAGAACAACGTATCACAGAACCATCTAGGTTGGAAGAGACCTCCAAGATCACCTTGTCCAACCTCTGACCTAACACTAACAAGTCCTCCACTAAACCATACCTCTAAGCTCTACATCTAAATGTCTTTTAAACACTTCCAGGGATGGTGACTCAACCACTTCCCTAGGCAGCCTATTCCAGTGCCTAACAAGCCTTTCAGTAAATAAGTTCTTCCTAATATCCAACCTAAACTTCCCCTGGCACAACTTTAGCCCATTCCCCCTCGTCCTGTCACCAGGCACGTGGGAGAATAGACCAACCCCCACCTCGCTACAGCCTCCTTTAAGGTACTTGTAGAGTGCGATAAGGTTGTCCCTGAGCCTTCTCTTGCCCATTAAGTGCAATGGATGCTGTTAAGAGTTGCATTGGCACTCCTGTGATGAGTATAGATCCATAGCTAGATTTCAAGTCAGTTTAATTAGCCTCGCTACCCAGTGGCAGGAAGCTCTGCCCAGGCACTTCACCATGCCAAGAAGCTGAATGCTGAAACATCAACCAACCTTCTCCAGGGCCTCTGAAGTGTGCCCGCTGGGCCTGTTTTCCATATGCTAAGGGATTCCCTTTCCTCAGGGAGCTCTAGAAGGAATATATGGGTAGATAAATCATACCAGGGATCTGAGAAATAGATTCAAAACATCTACAGAACATTTTATACATGAATTCATTACCCCTGAGGAGTCTGCTAAAGGGAGCTTGCCATAATGCTTGGCACTCACGTAGCATTGTACAGATAGCGAGGTAATAATCCTCACAAAGCCTCTGAAAGACTGGAAAGTATTTTATCCTTCTTGAGCTGTGAGGAGATAGATGCCTAGCACAGGCCACCCAGCGCGGCAGGGCCAGGAGATGGATGATCAAAGAAGAGCACAAGCACAAGGCTAGTGTATGTCAGATGTCTCCTTGATATTCTGCCAACCCACAGACTTTCTGGGCTCAGGGACTTCCTGACATATAGTTGTCACTCCTGAATGTGCTAATAAACTTCAGTAGATGTCTCTTAACATGAACTACACCAGGTTTCCCCTTGAACAGCCGTGATCTCTTACATCCACTACATCTTGTTGCCGAGGAGTAGAGCATTGAGACTCACTGCTCTTCACCTTGGATTCAATCACCAGATATTGCAGAAAATCATTTACTTGTTACTCATGTAGTGGGGAAAAAATCTCTACCTGTTGTGGAGTACCAGACAAAACACAGATAGGCCCGTCCAGAAGTCTTCACCGGAGACCTGAACTGTGTTTGAGAAGAAATAAAATTAACACTAATTTTTGAAATAAAGAGAAATTATGAACTATTATTCCAGTGAGGGTCCAGGGTTTTACTTTACTTGATTGGGAACACATATCCATAGCATCTAAAATTTATTCAAACTTTATTTCCTCTATTTTCCCTTAAGCTGAATTATCTCCCACAATACCTGAAAAGGGCTGTGAAATACTACATTTAAGGCACTTATGGGGTTAAACGAACTGCTTAAAGACGTCAGATGTTTTAACTGCCAAGTAGAGGGAGACGAAGAAAAGGTGCGTGAAATATCCTCATCTTACTGCACATGCGATACAGACCCAGCACAATGCTTGCTCTCCTCTGTTTCTCATCTGTTTCAACTTCTTAAAGGCTTGGGAAGAAGCAAGATAAAAAGAAAGAAGGCTGTAACGCAACGTTACAGTAAAGCACAGTTGACAGTGCTGAAATCTGCTGCACAAACAAAAGTTTTAGCTCAGGCTGTAAGCAGCTTATGGTACTAAGGACTGAACTGTGCCTTTCACAAAAGGGTCCCGCAGAGAAAGGCACGTGTAGCTTGCCAGCTTTGGGACTGGCCATGCTGCCACCTGGGCCACCCCAACATGGACAGGCAGGTCGCATTATTTCATATGAGGTAGCAAGGAGACACAAACCCTCCTCAGGTGAGGCATGGGATGAAGACAACGTAGGACTCAGACCTGCAGCCTTTAGTCAAGCACCACTCCTATTACTGCCCATGGGGCTTTAGCCTGAGCATGAGTACACAATCCCATCGCAGGGAATTATTTTTTCACAGTGGCTGCTGGATCAGTATCTAACAGAGCTTCTTGTAAAACACTGAGACGTAAAAACAGGTTTCACAGAAACTAAATTCTACTTACCAACTAAATTTGGTATCTATTTTGATATCACACGGGGAAAAAAAAATGATTACATAAGACTGCTAAAAATAGCAGTCTCCTGCATTCCTACATTCCCTCATTAACTCTTCCATTAACTTTACAGGTGATCCCCAGGTCCCTGCAGACAAAAAAATACCAAGCATACAACTCTGAGAAGAAAAAAGATACACATTGAGAGAGAGGGAGAGAGAGAGTAAAAAAATCCAGGACAAAAAAAAAAAAAAAAAAAAAAAAAAGCGGCTACAGATGAAGGTGAGGACAAGCAGGCAGGGACAAAACTCTCACTCCTAAAATAGACGAGGAAACAGTAGTAGCTTCCAGGCTTTACAGCAGGGTAAGCATTACAGGCGGTGGATTGGTGCAACCCACAGGAAAGAAAAAGGACAGCACAAGAAGAAATGAGCTGGGAAGGGCAGGCCAAAGTGGAAGCATACGAGCAGCAGGAGAGGGCAGATCTACAGCACATTCACAGGAGTATTTTCAGTGTATTATAGATAGCTCTGGTATCTCTGTGCAAGAACTAGTTCACATGGCGAAGCAGTACAGCCTGGGGGAACACAGCGGCCAGCATGGATGTAGCTGCTAAGATACAACATGTAGGAAAAGTTCAACCGAGAAATGTGGAGTAGGCAGAGGAGAAAAAGAAAGTGTAAAATGCAAAAGGCAAAATATTTCACATGTTTTCATTTTTAAAAAATTCCTTGACTTTAACAATTTGCAACCTGTTGGTTTTAAGTGGTTTGGCCAGAGTGTAAGGAACTCTGAGGAAAAGACTTAGGGAGTTTTTGAGAACTTTTTCAGATTTTTGTTTGTTTTAATATGCGTTGGAGAAAAAAACATTTGGGATTTTCCTTTTAGAACTGTTTCTAAATGTACCTAAAAATCAAAGGATCTGAGAGCACAAAGAAACATATCCCAATGTAAAATGCTCACACAACTATTGACCCAAATTAAAACCCAATAACAACAGTTTATCCCAGACAGTGTGTCACTTTGCCACTTCAAAATATGCATTGTTTTGGATGATTTATGAATTATGCTTCCTCTCTTCCTGTGCCCTGCCCCAAATATTTTGGTAGGTCTAGTGAAATACGAGTGGAAAGAATATCAGTAGGTTTGAGCAACCTGAAGATGAAGTTGAGAAAAAGCTTATGGTCCAATTCTGAGAAAGGCTGAGGGCCTGGATTTCTGGAAGCTGGGAACTGGGAGTCTTCACTATGCTGTCAGTGAACCTGGGATGCAAAATATAGTCTAAAAGAGGGGGAAAAAAAAAGTCACACTGGAAGGGAGTTATATGAACTAAAGAGATAATTTTCTATTTAAGTTTCCGTGTGATAAGACTTGGAAGACATCAACACATATATTACTTTCAGATGATAAATCAAGCAAAACACCAGTGACATAATAAGTTTTCCTATAACGCTAAGAAATTATTAGGAGCTCTACAGCGAGTATCCAACTAAAAAGTTCCAGTACTTTTTTGGAAGTGAGCTGGAAGAAGGATCTTACAAAAACAGAGCAAAGCCATGACCTAGACCAGATTTTTTCTTTTCCCTTTCTGTTGTTTATCTTTCCTATTTAGTGGAACATCATCATAAACCCTCTCATTTTTTTCTCATGTCTTTTTGTAAATGACATTAATACTTCCCTATCTATACTGGAAATACTCACATAATGCTATTTGGGAAGAATGCAGTCAGTCAGTTTAAACAGATCTTCCTTCAGATCTGTTTAATATTGAAGAACATAATCAGTCATTCCTTTCATGTTAGGTATACTCTGTATAATGGGTGGGATTTGTCTCTAATTTTAGCTGCCTAGAAAATTGGTATCTAAGCTAGTCATGCAGACTCTTTCAGTCAGTGGAGAGAAATGGCATCCCCAAAGGAAAATTCAGTCTTTCCTTCTTAAATATTTGCCTTGGTTTGGGATTAATTGGCTTCCAGATACATCTTGGCTTCCCAGTCAACTGGGAAAGGCTCCAGACACCTAACCTGGAATATCCATGGCCAGTGCTATAGAGATGGATGCTGTGTTCTTAGTCCTCTTTTGTCTTCACCTAATATTTCCAGGAATAACAAATGAAACTTCACATGTTTGTTGTACGTGAGGTTTTATTCCTGTTTTTCTGTCTGAGTACTCCAACATCCTTCTTCTGAAATTCAAGGGCAACAGATTCAAGAGCAGAACACCAGCTTATTTCTTAACATTTCCAGTTGAAATTCATTTCTGTGTCTGTTTCTACAGTCTATTGTGCTGATGGAATCAGTAGGGCATTCAGCACTTGCTTTTGTTTGTCTGAGCTTTTTCTTTCAAGCAAACAGAGGTGAACACTGGAAAAAAAGTAACACTGAGAGCAACGGATTAGCTCAGCCCTGCAGAAAACGGTGATCCATTACTCTGCATCTAAGTAGCCCTCAGTTACCACAGCTATTTCATCCCAAGACATGCTAGGAGGGAACAAGAAAGCACATCGTCATTC